ATAATGTAAAAGATTATTTTCAAATTTCCAATAACATAATTATCATACTAAAATCATATCTATAATTTTATCTTTCATACCTATTAAAAACATCTACTTGTAAATGCATATCAAAGATGCAGAGAAAAAAGAAAGGAACTCATTGTGCTACCAGTAATGTAATATAAATTTTACAATCGAATACCAGGCAAGAAAGAAATTTTTTTTAGAAGACTGCAGCGCCTTCCATTCTATTCCTGTTTGAAATGCTAAATTGTAAACTGTAACATATATTATGTATACATACATGTATATTCTGAGAAATAAAATACTTTTAACCCCATTTAACTTAAAAAAGAAAATATGTTAAGAAGAAACGGTATACATGTACCTCGAAGAGAGGTGTGACGGAATTTCAATGTCTGTGGAATGTTTGTGAAGCAAATTAATTTTGTGGAAGACACCGTTAGCTTGGAGAACATCATGTGCTACATCAATCATAGCACGAGATCCATCACATGCAGTCACTTCAACAGCCCCAGAAAATTCACTCATCATACTGTCCAAAAAGATAATTCATTCATCATACAGTACTGTCCAATAAGATAATTCACTCATCATACTGTCCAAAAAGATAATTCATTCATCATACAGTACTGTCCAATAAGATAATTCACTCATAATACTGTCCAATAAGATAATTCACTCATCATACAGTACTGTCCAATAAGATAGTTCATTAATCTCACTGTCCAATAAGATAATTCACTCATCATACAGTACTGTCCAATAAGATAATTCACTAATCTAATCATAATAAGATAATTCATTCATCATACTGTTCAATAAGATACTTCACTCATCATACAATACTGTCCAATAAGATAATTCATTCATCATACTGTCCAATAAGATAATTCACTAATCATGCTGTCCAATAAGATAATTCACTCATCATACAGTACTGTCCAATACAATAATTCACTAACCATACTGTCCAATAAGATAATTCATTCATCATACAATACTGTCCAATAAGATAATTCACTAATCATACTGTCCAATAAGATAATTCAGTAATCATACTGTCCAATAAGATAATTCATTCATCATACAGTACTGTTCAATATGATAATTCATTCATCATACAGTACTGTCCAATAAGATAATTCATTCATCATACAGTACTGTCCAATAAGATAATTCACCAATCATACTGTCCAATAAGATAAATCATACAGTACTGTTCAATAAGATAATTCACTAATCATACTGTCCAATAAGATAAATCATACAGTACTGTTCAATAAGATAATTCACTTATCATTTTGTCCAATAAGACAAATCATTCATCATACAGTACTGTCCAAAGATAATTCACTAATCATACTGTCCAATAAGATAATTCACTCATAATACCAATGTTTAAATAAATACAATTTGTTGATGATTTACTGAACATTCCACAGTATTTGATAATTATGTTAATAACAAAATCAATTTATTAAATTACTTGTACTATAAATAAACATTAAGGGTAGAGAATACCTTAAAATTCCTGTTCCTGTCCCAATGTCCAGCACAGTATTGTAGCCTGACTTAATAGCTTTGTCAATAGCAAATTTGAATGCGATATTACGTCTTTTATCATTAAGCATTGAAAAATGCCATCTCTCAACCAAGTGGCTGCATACATTCTCCAAATTATCCCTTGCTGCTAGATAATTTGGGTTGACAAGCAATGATTTCCTTATATAGGCAGCTGCCTCCTCAACATAACCAAGCCTGAAAGAAAGAACAGTAGAGATGAATATTTCTGTTGAACTTAAGCGCAAGTTTTAACAGTCCTTCAGTCACATAACATATACATGTAAGTGGTCATAAAAACAGTATTTCTGTATCGTGAATCAATACTGATGAATAAAATGATTTCTAAAGCTAATGCCAGGCTTTTCCCAGCCTCTCCACCTATATCAGTAATTGAGAATGATTCAATGAATGCCTTTAAAATAGTTCTTTCAATATCAATTGTTGTTAAACAATCAAAACATAGTACATGCTTAAAACACATAATGGATTTCATGAAAATTTAATTTTATATACATTCCTTTTCTAAACATTCAACTGTGCAATATTTTATTTATTCAATTTTATTTTTAATACATCAAGTATTCACCAACAAGTGCCATCACAATGAGGGAGCCACTTTCAACTTTTTCTTATTTCTACAGAGGAAGAATGTAAAAATAAAGGATGCATCATTTTTTGTATGAAATAGAACTAAAATTTCATATTTGACCTTGACAGTCAAGGTCATTTACAGTTCAAGGCCATACTAAAATACTTCAACATTTTGGTGTTATTATAAATTGTTTTGTCATGTATGAATCAAATCTGTGCATTATAATTCATAACAAATTTATGAAATTTAAGCTAAATTCAAAAATTTAACCTTGATGGTTAGAGTCATTCATAGGTCAAGGTTATATTTGAATTAATCATCATGACAGTTTTGTCATTACTGTTTTTTTTGTTCAAGAATGAATCAAATCCATAAATAAAAAAGGTCATTTATAGGTCATGCTCATATTTTAATTTTTTCAAATGTCAATAGACATATTCCCGAATTAAGAACATTATTTTGGGTTTTACCAGCTAAGCCGTAGGTACAAAAAAACTTTTACAGTTACAGCTTCGAAAAAAAAGCACAACACGTTAACCAATCTTAATTGTGACAGGAAGTGCACTGTGAAACTATAAAAGTAAAAGTTTGTTTGTACCTACAGATTAGCTATAGAATTGCGTGTTACTACATGTATTTATAGAATTGCGTGTTTCTATTTATAGAATTGTGTGTTAGAAACAAGCAATTCTAAAATTAGTAACACACAATTCTATAAATAGTAACACCCAAACCTATAAATAGTACGCGCAATTCTAAAAATAGAAACAAGCAATTCTAAAAATAGTAACACGCAAATCTAAAAATAGAAACACGCAATTCTAAAAATAGAAACACGCAATTCTATAAATAGAAACACGCAATTCTAAAAATAGAAACACGCAATTCTAAAAATAGAAACACGCAATTCTATAAATAGTAACACGCAATTCTATAAATAGTTACACGCAATTCTAAAAATAGAAACACGCAATTCTAAAAATAGAAACACGCAATTCTAAAAAAAGAAACACGCAATTCTAAATATAGAAACACGCAATTCTATAAATAGATATACCTTGTTGTTGTTGATGATGATGATAGATATCTATATATATATATATATACACACACACACACACACCAATAAATATACATTTTGTATAATTATGGTCATTTAATGCACAAATCTGAGAAAATTCAGTAATTTAACCTTCAAGGTCAAGGTCATTAAAGAGCCCAAGCAAATTTGGGTTTGATAAACAAAAAGGTCTGGTCCTTAAGAAGGTTATGTTATAATATGAAGTTGATCCCTTCAATAATAGCAAAGTTACAGCCAGTTACAGCCAAAAAAATGAAAAATTCAATAATTTGACCTTCAAAGACAATGTCATTAATGAGTGAAGGTCAAGGTCTCACCGTCTGTCGGGTTATTTTTAAGAGTTATCCTTGAAGATTATTATGTTCAAGTTTGAAGACAATTCATTCAAAAATAACAAAGTTACAGCCAATAATAGCCAAAAAAATGAAAATTTCAATAATTTGACCTTCAAAGTCAAGGTCATTCATGAGTGAAGGTCAAGGTCTGTCTGGTTATTTTTAAGGGATATCCTTGAAGATTATTATGTTCAAGTTTGAAGACAATCCATTCATAAATAACAAAGTTACAGCCAATAACAGCATGAACAAGCAAAATTTGGACTTTTAACCTTGAAGGTCAAGGTCATTTATGGATGATCTAAAAATAATATTTAATCTGGTCCGAAATGTCCAAAGCAATTGTCTAAAGTGTCTAACACATGATCCTAAATGTCAAACACATGGTCCGAAATGCCCAAAACGAATTATGGTGGTTTTGTCGGACTATAGGTTCAGCAAACTTAATTTATGAAGCGGTGCGAAAGTGGTTTCGTCGATCTTATGTTATATAATAATTAAAGGCAAAGTGGACATGGTTCATATATATATATACCGGTAGTTATTTTATCATCAATATTTTGTTATAAATTTTAAATCATTATTCGTTTTTTTCAGGTTTTACTTATATACGTGTAAATTTTTTTATTATGTTCTTTTTTTGTATTAGGGGCCTATGTAATGCTTTTATGTAAATATTACTGTTATACTAAAGAAAACAATAAATAATAGGTTTAAATTTTCAATATCTTGTCTTTAATTGCATGAAAATGTGTGATAAACCACGATAATTGGCGTGCCCATCATACAATGGATATTGTTTGCACTATATAAATTAAGTTCGCCGAAACCACTACCTGTTTTATTATACAAGGTCAGTTCGCCAAACAGGTAGTTCGACGAAACCACTCTCACCCTCCAAAACAATGGTCCAAAGTGTCTAATTTAGCATGATCCGAAATGACCATGGTCCGAAATGTCATATTACCAACTGTTTGACTTCTGTTTAGTTCAATGAATTTACCTGAACAACTGAGCACCAATATTGTTGAGAACAACATCATGGTCAGGATAAAGTTCACATGCTTGGTCATAGCATTTAAACAGATCTTGAAGTCTTTTCTGCTCCTCAAGTTGCTCACACCATTCTCTTGTAGCTAATGCGAATTCTGTGTAGACATCTGCCGCACAGTCAGATCTAAGTTTTAAATACAACAGAAAATTTGCAAATGCTCTTCCATAATTCTCAGTCTGTAAACAATTCCTGGCATTAAGTAAAGAGATCTGTGCTATCTTAGCAACATTTGACATTTTCAAATATCAATTGAATGAGATGACATTGTACCAAAACAGTCAATGTTTTCTTATTTAATTGGCGAAAAAAATGAAGAAAATGGGCCTTTCCCTTTCAAGTCTTCAACCGGTGCAATGTGAAATTTTTGATTCGTGATTGCAGCTTTTGGGAAAAGGTCACCGATATGGCTGAAAACAGCAACAAAATCAAGGCATGGGAAGGCTACAATTACGAAGCCCGGGGTCCCGATTTATGGGATTTAACAGGGGTGTTCGGAGGATATTGTGCAGTTCGTATATACTATCATGCGAGAAAACGACCTGTTACCTCTCTAGGTATAGTTCATAAGCAAACAGGACGATTCGGCCCCAAACCAAATCGACCCCAGTGGAAAAATCGGCCCCTGGACGTTTCGGCCCTTTTCCGCGAGAAGTTTCGGCCCTACTATATAGTACAGACAATTAATTAAATTAATTAATCACAATTAATTTAATAACAATTAAACAATTGTGACACTTTAATTCTTTAAATGATTATTTATTATCTTTTGATCTCTTGAACCATTTACTGATTAGATATGTAAGTATTATCAGAGAAAACTTGAAAAGATTTTTTAAAAAAACGGTTTGCTATAACCTGATAATATTTTTAATTGTTATTAGATATTGATAGATGCTAGATGTTATAAAAGTGATTGAAAGACTGAAACCAAATTATAAATGCTATGTACCTGCTATATATTTATTAATTAGTTTAATCAAAGAATGTTGACAGTGTAGCTATTACGAGTAGCTATTTATTGACATTTAAGTTCACATTTAATGCAACAAGTATCTAATCGTTGATGGCTTTGGTAAAGATTTAATCTTACGTAAAATATATAAGAGGTATCGTAAATCTTTCAAGGTACTTGGAAATTGGTGTTCCACTTCATGAAAATTGTCATTTATGATTATTATAACTATGAAATTTTAATATACCGCTTTAAAACACAGTACTTATTCTGGGGACGATTTGGTAAAGGGCCAAAACGTCTGGGGCCGAAACGTCTTGGGTAATTTGGGGGCGATATGTCTTGGGGCCGAAATGTCTCGAAATCGTTCATAAGGGAAAACTGTACGTTTCGCCCCCAAACCAAATCGAATCAGCAGGTCTAGGATTTCATGATATTAACGGAGTCTGTAAATTTTTGGACGATCCATGATTTTACAGATATTTAGCTCACCTGTCACAAAGTGACAGGGTGAGCTTTTGTGATCGCTTTTCGTCCGGCGTCCGTCCTTAAATGACATCTCCTCATAAACCACTAAGCCAATTTCATCCAAACTTCACAGGAATGTTCCTTTGGTGGTCATCTTTAAAAATTGTTCAAAGAATTTAATTCCATGCAGAACTCTGGTTGCCATGGCAACCGAAAGAAAAAACTTTAAATATCTTCTTTTAAAAAATCCTAAGAGCTAGAGCTTAGATATTTGGCATGAAACATCTTCTAGTGAGTGTCTACCAAGTTTGTTCAAATTAAATCCCTGGGGTCAAAATTGGCCCCGCCCCGGGGGGTCATTGTTTTTCCCTATATGTATATAGTAAAAACTGAAAAAATCTTCTTTTAAAGAACCCAAAGAGCTAGAGCTAAGATATTTAGCATGAAACATTTTCTAATGGGTGTCTACCAAGTTTGTTCAAATAAAAGCCCTAGGGTCAAAATTGGCCCCGCCCCGGGGGGTCATTGATTTTCCCTATATGCATATAGTAAAAACTTAAAAAATCTTCTTTTAAAGAACCCAAAGAGCTAGAGCTAAGATATTCAGCATGAAACATGTTCTAATGAGTGTCTACCAAGTTTGTTCAAATAAAAGCCCTGGGGTCAAAATTGGCCCCGCCCCAGGGGGTCATTGATTTTCCCTATATGCATATAGTAAAAACTTAAAAAATCTTCTTGTAAAGAACTCAAAGAGCCAGAGCTAAGATATTTAGCATGAAACATGTTCTAATGGGTGTCTACCAAGTTTGTTCAAATTAAAGCCCTGGGGTCAAAATTAGCCCCGCCCCGGGGGTCATTGATTTTCCTTATATGTGTATAGCAAAACTTAAAAAAGCTTCTTTGAAAAAACCCAAATAGCTAGAGTTTAGATATGAGGCATGAAACATCTTCTAGTGAGTGTCTACAAAGTTTGTTCAAATAAAAGCCTTTGGGTCAAATTGGCCCCGCCCTGGGGGGGGGGGTCATTGATTTTCCCTATTTGCATATAGTAAAAATTTAAAAAATCTTCTTTGAAAAAAACCCAAAAAGGGCCAAATAGCTAGAGTTTAGATATTAAGCATGAAATATCTTCTAGTAAGTGTCTACAAAGTTTGTTCGAATAAAAGCCCTGGGGTCAAAACTGGCCCCGCCCCAGGGGTGTCATTGTTTTTAACTATATGTGTATAGTAAAAACTTAAAAATCTTCTTTTAAATAACCCAATGAGCTAGAGCTTAGATGATTAGCATGAAATATCTTCTTATGGATGTCTACCAAGTTTGTTCAAATAAAAGCCCTCGGGTGAAAATTGGCCCTGCCAGGGGAGGAGGGAGGAGAGATCATTGTTTTTCATTATATGTGTGTAGTTAAAACTTAACATTGTGAAATAAAAACTTAACATTGTGAAACATTGTGAAACATCTTCTAATGAGTGTCTTCCAAGTTTGTTCAAATAAAAGCCCTGGGGTTTAAACTGGCCCCGCTCCGGGGCCCTATATACAGGTGAGCGACCTCAGGGCCATCATGGCCCTCTTGTTGTATCTGTAAATTTACAGAAATTAAGAAAGAAAATAGTAGAAGTTGCATTCAAATTCAAAACCGCAGATTAAAATTAATAAGGTTATGTGTGCTTTTCTATTTTGAAGTACCGCAATACAATGTCATTTTTAGCTCGACTATTCGATAAGAATAAGTAGAGCTATTGTAGTCACCCGAGCGTCGGCGTCGGCGTTGGTGTCCGCGTCGGCGTAACCACTTATGTTAAAGTTTTTGTAATAGTTCAAATATTTTCAAAGTCCATTGACATATGGCTTTGAAACTTGGCACACTTGTTCACCATCATGACCCCAACCTGTAGACAGGAGGAGGTAACTGTATCAAGCATTTTGACAGAATTATGCCCCTTTTTCGACTTAGAATTTACGTTAAAGTTTTTGTAATAGTTCAAATATTTTCAAAGTCCATTGACATATGGCTTTGAAACTTTGCACACTTGTTCACCATCATGACCCCAACCTGTAGACAGGAGGAGGTAACTGTATCAAGCATTTTGACAGAGTTATGCCCCTTTTTCGACTTAGAATTTACGTTAAAGTTTTTGTAATAGTTCAAATATTTTCAAAGTCCATTGACATATGGCTTTGAAACTTTGCACACTTGTTCACCATCATTATCCCAACCTATAAACAGGAGGAGGTAACTGTATCAAGCATTTTGACCGAATTATGCCCATTTTTCGACTTAGAATTTACGTTAAAGTTTTTGTAATAGTTCAAATATTTTCAAAGTCCATTGACATATGGCTTTGAAACTTTGCACACTTGTTCACCATCATTACCCCAACCTGTAAACAGGAGGAATTGTATTAAGGATTTTTTTTTACTATCAAGCACTAAGAATAGTCGAGCGTTGCTGTCCTACCGACAGCTCTTGTTATACTGAAAGGTTCTTTTACATTTTAAACATGTTTTATAAATTATTTTACATCTTAAAGTCCAGATGAGATATATTTTTTTGCAAATTTTATATTGAAATCTTGCTTGCGTATATTTTACAGTTGGTATGGCAACAGTTACGAGTTGTATGGTAACAGGAATTGTACTTGGTAGAGTATCGAGAATAGTGAGAGAAAAATATTTCAAGAAGAGGCAAGTGTTTGTTGAGGATTACGTGGCTGCACATCCAGAGCAGTTTGTTTCAGGTAAAAATTCTACATGCACTTTAGCTCTGAAGCATTTCCCTTTCATGGAAAAAAGTTTTTATATTTAAAATGCCAACTTTCAGGCAGGCAGTTGGTAGAGAAATCAAATCATGACCAAAAAAATGAGAATAGTAATCAATAGTGCAAATTAATCATGTCGCAAAAAATAGTGAGATTACTGTCTGAATATAATAAATGATTGTTAACAAAGTTACCATGGAGTAATTTACACATGAATATAATTCAAATCTATATCACAGTACAATAAAATGCTTGACAAATATTGAAAAATCTTCTTGACCTTTTAGAGTTTACTGTTTTGGTCTTAATATCCAGGAAATTGCTCAGAAAGATTGTCAAGATGATTTCTAGGGCAAGGTCGAATAATGGTCATCTGTAGGAAAAAACTAGGTCATACAGTCTAAAATAGAAAAACCTTGGTAAAGCTTTAGGGGCACCTCTTTCAGTCCAAATATCCTTAAAATTTATTAATCAGAAAATTTGTTTTTCATAATATTTAGCTCAAATTGAAATACATGTATGGGTCATCTCACTCATCTGGGGTCAAAAACTAGATCACACAGTCCAAATATAGAAAAACTTTAACACTGTAGAGGTTACATTTTAGCCCTCATATTCTGAAAATGGGTCAGAAAGGTGGTTTGTGTGATTTTTAGCTCAGGTTTGAATATGGGTCATTTGATGTCAAAGAAGATCACAGCACATAAAGAAACATATTTGGAAAAACCTGCACTATTTCAGGTGCAGATATGAATGTTATGATATCAGTTTAAGTTTATGGCATTATATATCTGCCTTTCTTTCATTGCTTATAATATTAATTCAGAGCCTCAGTAATCAGGTGAGCAATATAAGGGCCATAAAACTTTTACTTGTATCATGTAAGTTTGAGGATTTTGATTGTACATGTATGTATTCTTATTAATTTACCTCTGACAGTTTTTGAGATCTGTTGATAATTTGAAGGTATGGAAAACATGTTAAGGCGTGAAACTTAATGTTTTTAATCTGTTAATGTTCTTACAAAATATTATGTTGTTTTTTTTCAGAACCCCAACCAAAATTTAAAGATGTAATATGGAAATGGAGTCCAGTTCGTTGATACAGAGAGAGAAAAATGGGATATAATAATGATATCTAGAATATCGCTATCTAGAACTTTATGAAAGGTTGACACTCTTTTCATTGTTAGAAGTATGTGTGCTTAAACATAAGACTACCAGTAGAGCTAAATGTTTTCCATTCATAATGTGTGTTAAAAAGTATAAAATATAATTGAAATTAAATTTTTCTAAATGATAGATATTAAATTTTTCAAAATTGGCTATGTTTTTATTTTATTTTGTTCATTCTGCTATCTATAAATGAGTTAACTTTTTTCAAGACTTTCTTGGATGAGTAAGCGTTCAAAATGTCACCAGTATAACTTGTTGCTTTGTTTACAAGATGTCATTTGGCTTTAACTGTCACACTTTTCTATCCGGTCCATAACTAAGTCATTTATCAATGGAATTTGAAACAACTTGGCATAAATGTTCGTTATAATAAGACAATATGTCGTGCACATAACCCAGACACCTAACTCCAAGACCAAGGTCACACTTGTTGATTTAAGATCATCATTGTCTATTTGAGGGTATATGTTGTGTCCGATCCATAACTTTCTTGTGCCTGAAAAGATTTTGAAAATATTTGGCATAAATGTTCACAGTAATTAGACGATGTATCATGGGCAACAATCATTTGCTTACCTCCAAGATCAAGGTCACAGTTGGTGGTCAAAGATTAACATGGTCTGTTATAGGGTTTATTTTGAAACAGGTCCATAATTCTTCACAGATCAGCGGATTTTGAAATTACTTGGCACAAATATTAACAATTATAAGATGATGTGTTGTGTGCAACACCCAGACTTCTACCTCTCAGGTTAAGGTCACACTTGATGGTCAAAGCTTGATATTGTTTTATGAATTTTGTTTCCAGTTAATAACTTATCATCCATCAAGGGATTTTGAAAATACTTGTTACAAATGTTCACAATAACAAGACTATGTGTTGTGCTCAACACCCAGATGACATCTGTCACACTTAGTGATAAAAGGTCAATTATAAAATATTTTCAATATATTGATAAAACCATCAAGGCATTTTGAATATATTTGGCACAAATATTCTCAATAATGAGTTGACATCAGGCCTCGATGAATTTTTCAAGGGTCACTCGCCCTGCCCTTTAAATTTACTGGCCCTTCGTTATTGTACTCACCCTGCATTTTGATGGACAAAATTTGTAAAAATCAAACGTTAGACACTTATTTACTGGTCTATATCGGTAAGATTGGCTTTATTCATTTACATATTGTAAAATAATGTTATAATACTGTTCATTCTTTTAAAATATTATCTTCCATCATAAACTGAATACTTATTTCTTTACATGCCCACTCAGCTTAAATATTGACCTCACAGTTAAACATTACTGAATGCGTATTATAAGAGTTTGTTGAATTCTGCTGTTGTTACAGAATCAATTCATCTTTCGGTAAAGTCTTATACCTAGTCATAAGGTCAGTTTCCGATTTTCATTTGACAGTATTATGAGTGAAATGGCATCTGCTGTTTGATCTGTTTACCGAAAAACTTCATTTACGTTAAATGTTTAAAGAAACAATCTTACTCGCCCTGTCGGGCAAGTTTGATGAATTCTTTTCTCGCCTGACCCAAACTTTCACTCACAATGAGAGCGTGCAAGTGGATTTATCGAGGCCTAGACATGTCGTGCGTAACACCCAGTCGCCTAGCTCCAAAGTCTCACTTTGAGGTCAAAATAACATGGTCTGTTATTGGGTATATTTTGTAACTTTTTCATAGATCAAGGAACACTTAGAGGTCAAAACTTAACCCTTTCGCTGCCAGAGGGTTATTGTTTTATTGATCACCTATTTGCCAGAGGGTTTTCTAAGAAATTACTACATGTATATTATTAATTAATATAATTATTATTATTTGTTATTAGTATTATAATAATTATATATGTTTCCAAATATGCTAGTATAATAATAATTATTGTCGATGGTATAATTTTCTTTATATTTATTATTATTATTAATTTATTATTATTATTATGATTATTATAGAAAGGGTTAACATGGTCTTTTATAGGGTATATTTTGTGTCCAGTCCATAATTTTGTTATCTGAACCAGTGTACAGCCAGGTCAACCAGGATAAATGATGGGATTTCAAAAGAAATTAGTACACATGGCCAACATAGGTAGCCAAAGTGTTGTGGGCAAGAGCCACGTCCCTAGTTCAAAGATAAAGAGTAAACAAAGTATATTTCTCACATTTCAAACTCAGGATCACATGTTCAAAATCAAAGTATGAAACAGTATGACAAGGTTAATATAATCAAAGTGGCAGATAATTCCCAAAATTAATTTCCGCAAAGTTGTCCCCCTGACTTCAGTATTTGCTCTTGTAAACTTTTTGTTAATTAGTTCATATCTTGAAGGCACATGTATTCACCTCAACATGTTCAATATCAAAACTGAAAAACATTTCAAAAGGGCAGGTAACTTTATGATTTTTTATGCTCCCTCAGAAGGGTAAGCATATAATCACTGCCTTGCAATTGTCTATCGCTCTTGTCTGGAGATTTTAAAATAATTTGATTAAAAGTTCACAAAGTTATGAGAGAAATTGCAGTGTTTAAGAACCTTAACTCTTAAAGTCTACCTCGCTTGATTTTTAATTATCTCCCTTAAGTTAATAATGCTGGTCTGGACTAGCAATGATATCTCATTGAAACTTCTCACAGTTGAAGACTAGAAAAAGGAAGTGTAGTGTCAAACTACAAAAATCCTCTTGTCTGAAAGAACAAGGCCCAGAGCTTTCTTACGTGGTATTCAACATGATCAAGAGGTCTGATAACAAAGTTGTTCAAATTATATCTCTAGCTGCCCTGGGACTCTTGGTTACATTTGAAGTATATAGTAAAAACTGCAAGTCTTCTTCTCTGAAAGCCTTAGTGCTAGAGTTTAGATAATTGGCACAAAACATTATCAAATGAATCTTTATGAAGATGGTTCAAATTATTGCCGTAGAGTCAAAATTGACACCACCTTTTGGGGTCATTAGTTTTCCTTATAATATTATGTTTATAGTAAAAACTTCCAAAAATCCTCTTCTTTCAAGCATAAGTGCTAGGGCTTGCATATAACGTAATCTAATACATCTCTAAATTAATCAAATTATGACTCCTGGGTCAAAATAGTTCCTGCGTCCTGGGGGATCGTACATTCTTATACAAATAAGGTCTTGTTATATGAACTTTTTTTTATTTTTGAGAGCACAATTTGTGTATTTTATTAATTTGGCTTCATGATTATAGTGGATTAAAGACAATAAATGGGTAATTTTATGTAGAAAATATATTAAAATGATAACAATTACTAGATAACTAGTATATGTTTATATAAAACAAGTATAATACTGTTAACAAATGATGTAATAACTTGGAAGAAGCATTTCATTAATCTTTTCAGAGTTTCCTGTTTAAACTGCAGTTGGGAAACGAGTGTGAATATGTATACAAAATGAAGAAACCTTTTATAAACAAGAAGGCCATGATGGCCCTGAAATCGCTCACCTGAATATTAAAACTCTCCACGACAAGGAACAAGTAATATTGTAAACAAAAGCAGATATAAAATCTAAATTTTAAACTGATATCACAAAGTTCATATTTGTATATGAAAAAGCTCATGTATAAAAACATGACTGGTTGCTTTTGCTAAGGGAAAACAACAGTTCCAAAAGATGTGTACATATAAGGAAAATCAATTAGCCCCACAGTGCAGGGCCATTGTTGACCCCAGGGCATTTATTTGAACAAACTTGGTAGACACTCACTAGTAGATGTTTATGCCAAATATCTAAGCTCTAGCTCTTTGGGTTTTTTAAAAGAAGATTTTTTTTGATTTTTTACTTTCTACATGGAATTAAAGTCTTTGAACTATTTTTAAGGGTGACCACCAAAGGAACATTCCTGTGAAGTCTGGATAAAATTGGCTTAGCGGTTTATGAGATGTTGTTTAAAGTAAATTTTACAGATGGACGATGGACGGACTACTGGCGAATTGTGATCACAAAAGCTCACCTTGTCATTTTGTGACAAGTGAGCTAAAAATATAATATTTCAAGTTATGAGTGTACATATAAAAATATCCACACACACACATGAACGAATACATAATTATGGAAAAGGTCATACTCGACTGTCCAATACAAGATATATTGTCTACTACAGAGTCCAATACAATCCATATAAATGAATTCATTCATCAAAACTTGGCATTGGTATCATGCTCATTACAGACATCAATTCAATGCTATGTTATTTGTAACAGTTTTATGGTTCAAGGTCAATCATTTTCAACGGTCTAATATGGGATATATTACAAACTATAGAAACAATATATGTACTTGATGGTTATGTGAAACAATTCAAAAATCTGGATGTAAATAATTAGTGTAGAATAATATAAGAATCGTACACTGGTTGCTGGTATACACTGAAATATATAGGTAGCTCGAGTGTTACTGTTTAAGTTATTACCACCCTAACAGGCACTATCCTTTAAATAATCTGCAATAACATTCTAATGAAAAACGTTTTCCCATTAATTTTTGGTAAGAAACAAATAGTACTATTCAGCTAACAATCAACATAAACAAAATTATGATATCTACTCAATAAAATATGTATAAAAATGTTACCCTACCCCACCCATTTTGAACACGTGTTTGACCATTTTCCTACTTAGGGAGCCTACTTTAAAAAATCCTTAAAATTTACCGAATAAGTGCCTGTTTTCAAAGTTTCCCTAATATATTGGTTGATCTTGTAAAATACTAAATACTTTTAGTTTTGATTTTATTACACTTTGAAAATATCAGGTACCATATTTATTACTAGATTTAGCATTATTTAGCCAATAAATACCTATATAAATTAAATAATAAAAAATAAACACTTTTTTCTACCCAAAATGGATGGAGAGATACATAAATAATGTTAAAAGAAAAAAAAAAGTTGACCCATCTGAGGTTTGAACCCATGGCCCTCAGTTTCAATGTAGTTAACAGTAGTTCTAGCCTATTTGAATACTCTTCAAAGTGGAGGTAAGGCATTAGGATGGTAATACCTTAATACTGTAACGAAGTTACTGCTAAAGCTAGAGATTTCACAACTAAAATGACAGCCAGTGTTTCTTTTTTTCTTGTATGTAATAAAAATCATACAGTATTAAGACAAAAATAACAAGAGGGCCATGATGGCCCTGAGGTCGCTAACCTGTATATAGCCCCCCCCCCCAATAAGAAGATGTTTCATGCTATACATCTTAGCTCTAGCTCATGGGCTTTTTAAAAGAAATTTTTTTTAAGCTTTTACTATACACATAAAGTTAAAAACAATGACACCCCTGGGGCGGGGCCAGTTTTGACCCAAGGGCTTTTATTTGAACAAACTTTGTAGACACTTACTAGAAGATGTTCCATGCTTAAGATCTAAACTCTAGCTATTTGGGTTTTTTCAAAGAAGATTTTAAGTTTTTGCTATACACATATAAGGAAAATCAATGACCCCCGGGACGGGGCCAATTTTGACCCCAGGGCTTTTATTTCAACAAACTTTGTAGACACTTACTAGAAGATGTTTCATGCTTAATATTTAAACTTTAGCTATTTGGGTTTTTTCAAAGAAGATTTTTTAAGTTTTTACTATATGCATATAGGGAAAATCAATGACCCCCTGGGGCGGGGCCAATTTTGACCCCAGGGCTTTTATTTGAACAAACTTGGTAGACACCCATAAGAAGATGTTCCATGCTAAACATCTAAGCTCTAGCTCATTGGGCTTTTTAAAAGAAGATTTTTTTAAGTTTTTGCTATACACATATAGTTAAAAACAATGACACCCCTGGGGCGGGGCCAGTTTTGACCCCAGGGCTTTTATTTGAACAAACTTTGTAGACACTCATAAGAAGATGTTTCATGCTTAATATCTAAACTCTAGCTATTTGGGCTTTTTCAAAGAAGAGTTTAAGTTTTTGCTATACACATATAAGGAAAATCAATGACCCCTGGGGCGGGGTCAATTTTGACCCCAGGGCTTTTATTTGAACAAACTTTGTAGACACTCACTAGAAGATGTTTCATGCTTAATATCTAAACTCTAGCTATTTGGGTTTTTTCAAAGAAGATTTTTTTTAAGTTTTTGCTATACACATATAAGGAAAATCAATGACCCCCGGGGCAGGGCCAATTTTGACCCCAGGGCTTTTTTTTTAACAAACTTGGTAGACACCTATTAGAACATGTTTGATGCTAAATATCTTAGCTCTAGCTCTTTGAGTTCTTTCAAAGAAGATTTTGTAAGTTTTTACTATATGCATATAGGGAAAATCAATGACCCCCTGGGGCGGGGCCAATTTTGACCCCAGGGCTTTTATTTGAACAAACTTGGAAGACACTCATTAGAAGATGTTTCATGCTGAATATCTTAGCTCTAGCTCTTTGGGTTCTTTAAAGGAAGATTTTTAAGTTTTTACTATATGCATATAGGGAAAATCAATGACCCCCTGGGGCGGGGCCAATTTTGACCCCAGGGATTTTATTTGAACAAACTTGGTAGACACTCACTAGAAGATGTTCCATGCCAAATATCTAAGCTCTAGCTCTTAGGGTTTTTTAAAAGAAGATATTTAAAGTTTTTTCTTTCGGTTGCCATGGCAACCAGAGTTCTGCATGGAATTAAATTCTTTGAACAATTTTTAAAGGTGACCACCAAAGGTACATTCCTGTGAAGTTTGGATGAAATTGGCTTAGTGGTTTATGAGGAGATGTCATTTAAAGTAAAAGTTTACGGACGACGGACGGACGACGGACGGACGCCGGACGGACGCCGGACGAAAAGCGATCACAAAAGCTCACCCTGTCACTTTGTGACAGGTGAGCTAACAAAAACTGATACTTTCAATTAGCACTCTTATACAAATTAACAATTTCATGCCTAAGGAAAGGAATGTCTCTCTACTATACAATTATTGACTAGTGTGCCATTGAATATGATGTTCATATTCAATGGCACACTAGTCAATAACTGTTTTATTATATGAATAGGCTAAAAATTTTAAAAAATCACAAAAAAGTACAACCTTATACATAACAACTATTGCCTGATTCTTTGAAGCGGGGGGAAAAAAGATGCATGTGTCAGGTGTGCAACGACTAAGCAAATGCTGCACTTACAAAAGTTATTCAAGTTTATACTCATTTTTGCGGTGTAGCCTTTAAGTATAATAGTAAAGTAATGATATTTTAATCGAGAAAAATGTGACTTGTCATAAAGAACAAAACACAACAATTATTTTTTAATGCACGCGCACAGTTAACAGTCTAAGATGTATGGTCATTGAATATGAGTCTCAATCTTTTTTTTAGACTGGGAAAATCCAATTCAGCCAGTGAATATGATACTACGCCCAGTGAATATGATTTTATAAAAAGTTCTGTTGACTACAGTACTGTTTGGACCAATGAGATTGCAGCTACACATGTATTTAGATAATATTATAACATCATTTAATTAAAGCACACAACATGCCTGACATATGGGTTGTAAGATGACATTTTCTAGCACCAGTGTAGAACATCCTGACATGCAAATATTCAGAATTTGTCCCATAATAGTTTAGATAAATTTCAACATTATTATGTCAGGTAATATAATATGAATAATAAATGTTGAACAGCATGTCCCTGATGGGGTTTGGAAAACATGCAGCTAGCTTATCAAGTACATTGTATATAACAAGTCATAAGTTTAAATGGCTATATTTTGTTTGTATCACAGCTAGGTTTCATATAAATCATCACACATATACATTTAATTTTTGTGAGTGTAAATCAGTTGCTTATTGTTCTTTTAAAGAAAAATATTATATAAATATTTGTTACATATTACATGTTAAACAGTAGGGATTTAAAGTTAAATCTTCATTGAGATTAATTGAATCATTTGATTACAATTGTCAATATTACACTTTGTGTAATGTTATAAATGTTATACTACATTATCATAGTCAATAACACACGGCAGAAAAACAATTATGTCCATTTCTCACTCTGCAATGTTACAACTATCAATATCAGACTCTGTCATATGTAATGATATATTCTGGGTACACTTGATGGCTGTCATACACAACAAATTCTCGGAATATATATTTCTCCTCTGCTACAATACTGTCATATCTATTGTCATGATCACAGCTGTCTGTCTGACAACCTTCACAACATGGTGGACGTCGCAGTTTCTTTACATCAGTCATCAAACAGATTCTTCCTAGACATGCTTTCACCAGAAACATCTGTAGTCCTTTTTGCTGCCTGTTATCTCTATCATCTGTGAGATAAAACAACAAATTTACAAGGTTTGTTTTGTTATCTTAATACCCCCTGTCGTTGACAGTGACAAATAAGTATTACAGCCAACATTTATCCCTGCATGAGTATGGCCTATGTCAGGAAAACCTTACCCGTCCGCTTCTTGATCCTTTATTTTAGGCAGCAACACATTCTTTAAATAAGCAACAGAATGCACACAATGGTCTCATTGGCCTCCCGTGTATTATTTCACTAATAAAATCTAAAACATTTGCATTTTATTTGGACTCATTCAGTGAATTACTGAATTCCAATCAAATAGGTCACCACTTTAGATTATAACATACTTTAAGGGCATGACTGGTGACATGTCCGGGGTCCGTACTGGACAGCGACAGCTGCTTTTTGTGGCTTACGGGCTGATGGACCCTCATTAAACATTAACAACATACATACATACATATTCCTGTGTGATTGAACAGGCAACTAAATAGGTTCGAATACCTCGAGTCTATGCATCATTTTGGACTAAATCAGCACAACAAAAGCTGTGGAAAAATTTGCTGAAGTAGTAGATGTTTTGTAAATAACAATCAATTCTGTAAAGAAACATCATAGAGATTTGGGACAAAAAGCACGGACAGGAATGAATGAGCAATATATATATGATATAATAAAACACCAAAAAACACAGTCCAGGAGTTATCTAATTTAATCTATATTTATCAATCATATAAATTTCACAGTTAGGTTATGTGAAGAATGCAATTTTATTATATACTATACGAGGCTACTATATTTAGACTTTGTGTTCACACAAACTTCATCGTTACTACCGGGTATATATGCGGCATCATTTTCACTCTGATAACCACAAGAGAAACTTGTTGGAAAATCATTAAATTTGTTACCTCATGGATTGTGTTGTTTTTGTTTTATTATACGTGACTTTTTTCCCTGCATTTCTTTTTTCTTTTTATGTATTTATATATTTATGTTGATATAAACAGCAGACAATTAAGAAGACAATGGACTTATCAACCCATACCAACAAGCCTGCTTCAATATACCCCCTAAAATAGGAAAAGCTTCAGACATTTTTACACAGATACATTAAAATATAGAGTAATAATTTAGTGTAGAAGAATGATTTAGCTATAGAGTGATTATGTAATATACCTGTATACTGGTCAGCTTTTGTTGAGCTCTCTGCCATATACACAGCAGCACCCAATACAACACCGCCACGTGCCATTCTTGGATCAAGCCCTTGCTTCAACAATCCCTGCACAAATTCATTCTTAGTTCCATGAAAGAAATAGCCTTCATTTACTTCATGGTACAAGCTATCTTTCAGGCTAGCATCCAAGTAATTCTCGATTTTTGAGCAGCCATGCTTGACATTAGGAATCTTTGCTAACTGTGTAAACATTCCGCCTAAAAAAATAATTTTTTTATTTCCCTGTAACATGACAATTAATGAAGAAGTTTGCAAAAATAAAGATGTCATGCTGCCAAAGCAAATCATAAATGCCTCCCTATATTAGGATCTTGCAGCGTGATTTCATAATCATAGACTTACATCAAACTAATGTAAGGAAATGTTATGCACAAACTAAGAAATGACAATAAAATGACAATCACATATTTCAGCTAAGTTACTAAAATTATTTCAGATAAATGTACTCATGGAAACTTCAAACTTATATAAACCACTCTTAATTCCTTGTGCAACTTTCTTGGAACTAACCATGACAGAATATGGTTTTAGAACAACCAGTTTTCTATAAACTAGATGGACAGGCCTCTGTCAAACATAAAGGATTCTTTCATGTGTGTAAAGTATCAAACTGGCTTATGGAAAATTAGCTGTCTAACCTTGGCTTCTGTTCATGCTAGAAATATGCACAAAGAGATATCTGAGATATCCTTCAACTAATAAAGTTTGAATGAAACCAACAATGTTGCAACCTAAAATGGAGCAAAACAGATCAAGAAAATTGTCCTTGTATAAGTAAATTAATTAGTTAATTATAATATCTGTTTCATCATAAGTTTATTATTATAGCAGTTACCTTCACCAGCTTTGTGGAAGAGTTGTTGTCTACTCTGACAGTATTGCTCATATAGATTTAGATTCTCTATCCTCTCAATCTTTGTTACCTTCAACTTTGTGAAACCCAGATCAGCAAGTCCTGCTGCATCACGACCTTGACCTACTTTAGCTGGTTCCCATGTATTGAGAACTAGTCTCTCTATTGCTTTAAAAGTGGACTGATTTACTGTTTTCAGGGTGTAGTGAGGTTTGCCTTTTTCACCAATTTTCCACTGTTTAACATTTTTATCTGGAGTGTAAACAGACCAGTTACTTGGAGGAACGATTTCATTTTGATACATATGTAAACAGAATTCTGGTGTATCCCGTTCTGGTAAAACTTCCGCAGAGCTCTCTAGAGGTTTATCTGCCGGTGAGACAGTTCTTCTTGGTCTTGGTACCGGACGAGAGGAAGGAACACTCACTTTTTTTGGAATGACTGGCTTTGGTGCTACTGGTGGCTTTTTCTTTTCACAAGCTTTACATTCTAATTTAAATGCCTGATAATAAAAACAACAGTAATCATGTATAAGCCATGTTGTTATACAGTACATGTATTATTAATAGAAACAAATTCTATAACCTGAACTGTCAGTATAGGTCACTATATGTTTAGGTGCTCATGTACCTCTGTACAGTGACCTACTTAAGATACAAATTTTCATATTTGTGGCTTTTGTGGCTAATACTCAGTTGAAATTTCTTTGAGGTAAATTATCACCACTTGTGCTTCAACTCTTTAAGGGCATGAGTGGTGACATGTCCGGGGTCCATACTAGACAGCAAAACCCGCATTAGTACTGTAATGGGCAGATCCTCCTTAAAGCATAGACTCGTAACATACATATTCAACATTCACTTTTCTCCTTTATATGTATTATTACAAACTTCTCAATAATAGTAGGAGTATAAAGTGGTATTGTAACTAACTTTCCACGCTATACTACTGCAGAGAAATTACATGTATTAATTATCTTTGTGCATTTAATGAAGGGACATTGATTATCTTAATACTAAAGTGAAGTAACTCTTCTAAAACAACTACCTCAAGGTTCTTCTTTACTGTTGATGTTAATCCAAGAAGGACAATATTGACAGACTGCACTGTAGAAGCACTATTATTTGTTGAGAAATCACTGATAGCTTTCAACATAATACTAGCAGATACGTCTGGTGGGTACATTAAGAAGCCAGTACCTAGGCTTGGAAAACTTATTGACTTCATACTGTCAGTGTGCGCTTGTTGTAAACACTTTGTTACTAAAGTTGCAAGAAGCTGAAAAGTACATTATTATCACTACAATACAAAATCTTAAAAAACAATCTGAACAACAATAAACATCTGTATCTGGAAGTCATTCAGAATAAAGTTATCTATCTGCTTCTATTATCCACAAAATCATGTTTACTGTAATTTAGATAAATACAAATGTATCACTAGAATTCTGTCTATTGGTCACATGTAAAAGGCATCCTTTTACTGCCAAGAATTTCATAAATCTTCTGGCTATTTACATTATTGCAATTTTACTGGTCAAAATTTTTTGTATTCTTAATTTAAGGATATGAATAATTATGTCAGTCGATCATCAACTACATATAATATCCTTACGTTTTATAATTTGATTATATACATGTATTTTTATATTTTTTTTCCTACCATTTTAGGGTCTGAGTTGTCTTCAGGTTTATCAAATCTTGGTAAAGCACCACAATATATATTTTTACAGCCAATGATATTGCCAGGTTTAAGAATGGCTAGTTGCCCATGCTGTATCCCCTGTGGGTATTTCTGTTTACATTCATCTTGTAATGCTGTACCAGCAGCTTCTAGGACAGATGCACTCAGTGTACCACGTTTTAAATCTAATCCACGTGTACTACTTGTCATTACAACTTCAGTCTGAAATATATCATATATAAATATTTATCACTTCAAATAAACTTTTAATAATCATTGAAATATTGCACAGTTGTTAAAATTCATGGATGAATTTTTTTCCCATAAGTAATCTTGTTACTGTCAGGTCTCTGTGCAATATGAAATTCATTAAAGGGACTCCACTGATGTTTTGTAAAATGACAGGACTGGAAATATTTTTCTAATATTTGTGCACTATTTGATGCATATCTAGACCAATAACTCTTGTGCAAATTTTCAGATCATTCCCTCTCCCAGTTTGTCCAGCATCATCATTTAATTGTGCAAAATAACCCAAAAATGAAAAGCATTGCAATGCTTTTCACTCAAACAGGCTAAGAATCGCACAAAAATGGAAACTTAATTTAATTCTGATTTTTTATTATCCTTTGCAGACTTATTCATTTACAGTGCTTCACTTGATTTATGTAAGAATTTTAAATTTTAGTTTTTTCAGCTTTTTTACCTCCTGTAAGACAAGTACAAAGCATTGCATGTGCTTCCAGCATTGTAGAGAATACTATTAAACAACTTTAACAACATACCTTAATTTATTTCTTTTAGCATAAGTAAATCTATGTATAATCACAGAACAAGTAGTATTATTTAACAATTTATATAAATATATAATTTTTATCACTTCAAATAGACTTTTAATAATCATTGAAATATTGCACAGTTGTACTTGTTAAAATTCATGGATGAATTTTTTTTCCATAAGTAATCTTGTTATATATATATATACATATGGCATCCCATCAAGTCTCACTAAGCTGCTGATTGGAGGTTTGCCTTAGACCACTGAATCATAATATAAGTGTTATATTTGTAGCATTACAGGTTGTAAAGAAGCTATTGGATGGAAAAAAATTGAAAATGATAATAAGTATTTTAGGGGTACTGTCTTTCATAATTCATTAAAATGAAATATTTAACCCTTCACCTTCTGAAA